ACCTCTTACCTTGCTCTCTCTTTCATCCCTGTTTCTGTTGTCCAGGGTGGCCTCAACACTGTGACTCCCTCCTACCTCAACCTCCCTCATCCTGAGATTCCAGACCTCGCCAGGCCCCCTGATATTTTCTCTCTGCCTCCTTCCTTCTTCCTTTCTGCCCCGCACTCTCGCAGAGAAGCCCTTGAATCCATGTCCTGGTCCCCCTCTCTCTTTCCCCTGGTCAGGGTGCTGCCTCCCCCCTTGGTCTGTCCTCTCGGTTTCTCCCTGAAGCCTCCTCCCTTTTTCTGCTGCTCATCTCTCTCTCCCTTCCCTCTGCTCTACCCACCGGGTAAAGGGGTAAAGCTCGGGGCAGCTGCTCAGTTTCCTTCCTCAGGAGGAAGGGAGGGGGCCCGCTATTGTGGTCTTCCTCTCACAGGCCTGGTGAACTCTATCCGGCATCCTGCTGCGGCTGGCTGCTGGGGTCCAGGAGAGGTCCCCAGGTGTTTCTGGCTGCAGAAGACCCTGCCGAGGAGCACGCTTCGGACACCTCTCTGCTGTTGTCTATCCCACTCCATGTTCAGATCTTCTACAGTCCAGGCTGGCCTTGAATTTGGGGCAGGGCATGGCCTTGGACTTCTTCTTCTTTAATTTATCTTTTATTTTATTTCTTTAAATTTAATTTAATTTAATTTTTTCCAAGACAGGATTTCTCTGTTTAACAGCCTTGGCTGTCCTGGAACTCACTTTGTAGACCAGGCTGGCCCCGAACTCACAGAGATCTGCCTGCCTTGTCCTTGCCTGCCTCTGCCTTCCCAGTACTGGGATTAAAGGTGTGTGTTACCGCTGCCTGGTTTCATTTTATTATTTTATGTTTATTGGTGTTTTGCTTATATGAGTGTCTGTGTGCCATGTGCAGGCCTGGTACTGGCGAAGGCCAGAAGAGGGCACCAGAACCTCCTGAACCGGAGTTACAGGCGGTTGTGCTGGGAATGGAACCGGAGGCCTCCATGAAAGCAGCTGGTGCTCTTAACCAGTGAGCCATCTCTCCAGCCCCAAGCTTGAACTTCTGATCCTCTTGTCTCCACGTTAGACTCCAGGCATGAGCTGGTGTGGAGCACCCTGGCTGCTTTCCTTTCTTCTCTCTCTTTTCTTCTTCTCGAATCATAGCCTCCCCAACTTCAGAAGTGTCAAATTTGTCAGGCCAACACCACAAAGCACCAGCCACACAGGTCTGGCACATGGTAAGAGCTAGGCATTCCTGGGTTCTCAGAAAGCCTTCTGGAGGAGGGGACTTCTAGATCCCTGGGTAAGGGCTAGGGGTGCCAGCGGTTCTTTGAGTTGCCCCCCCCCGCCTTGAACTCCATATGGCCCAGAGTGGCATCCCTGACAGCAGCGGGGTGTCGAGGCATCAGAATGTCTCCACTCTACTCCTGGTTTTAGTACCGTCCCAATCAGTAGCTTTGTCAGGCTGCAGGTCCTGCCTCATCCACGTGCCACCGAAGAACAGAGAAGGCAGTCTCTCTCCTTTGCCTTCTTATGTACTTATGTGTTTACTGTGTGTGTAATGTGTGTGTACATGTGTACATGTGTGTTATATCACAGTGCACAGAGGATGATTTGTGGGAGTCAGTTTTCTCCTTCCGCCACATGTGTTCCCCAGGAATAAACTAAGTCATTAGGATTGGTGGCAAGCATCTTCACCCACAGGGCCATCTTGCCACCCACCCCCCTTCACAGAGCTAGGACCACACCCTGCTCTTGCTGACTCAAGTCCTGCTCTAGCGATAGAACATTCCAGGATATCTATGGTCTTCCTGAGCAGAATGTGGTTATGAGACTTGACCTTATTTTTTTAGCTTTGGGGTTTAAAATAGGGTCTCATGTAGCCCAAGCTGGCCTGGACTTAGACACCTTAAGCTGGCCTTACATTCCTGCTCCTCATGCTCTACCTCCTGTGTGCTGGGATGGCAGGCTTGTGCCGCCACACCCTTCATGTAATATCGTCAGACTGTAAAGGAGAACAAAGGGCACACAGATGCCATGAGACTGCTAAAGGACGTTTTCCTAACTGAACACATTCGTTCTGTGTCCCAAAGCAGATCAGAAACTTGTGTGCCACTTGTCAGTCATTCTGTCTTTAAGGTGGATATAGGCCTGACTCTGGCAATACAGATTCATTTTGCTCCTTTCTGAATTCTATTCCATTCTATCATTTATTTATTTATTTATTTATTTATTTATTTACTTACTTACTTACTTACTTACTTACTTACTTACTTATTGGCAGGGTCTCACTTTGTAGCTCTGGCTGGCCTGGAACTCACTCTGTAGACCAGGCTGGCCTTGAACTCACAGATATCCACCTGCCTCTGCCTCCCAAGTGCTGGGATGAAAGGCTGTACCCGACCACAAACATTTTCTGAACTTTTTCATAAGTAGAGCAAGTGGGCTTTGGGATTTATAGCAGTCTACAAAGCACCCACGATGTACATGAACTCCTAGAGCTATCGAAGCTGTAGAGTGAGGCAGGCAGGAATGGCAAAGCCCATTTCACAGAGGAGAAAACTGAGGCTCGGAGAGGAGAGAATCCTCCACAGCCATGTGCAGAGCTGAGCTAACTGGATCTCCCCAGGTGGCACACTGACACTGCTGGGAGGTCACTTGAGAAGCCAAAAAAGCTGAAGCCAGGCCAGGGCCATAGTGTAGTTGGTGGAGTGCTTGCCTAGCATGCAGGGGTCAGCACCACAGAAGCAGGGCACGGTGGTGAGCGCCTGCAACCTCCGTACGTGGGAGGGGGAGGGCAGGAGGATCAGGAGTCCAGGAAAAGGTCCACTGTAGCAATACAGGAGTTGGTATAGCCTGGGTTACAAGAGACCTGGCTCAAACAAACAAACAAACAAACAAAACAGAGAAGAAACAGGTCAAGGGCTGATGGTATGTCCACAGCCTTTGTCCCCCAGAAGGAGGACATTGGAGGCCTCGTCATCTTTGAGGCTCACACACTTGCACCCCAGCACAGCCCGCATTCTTACCCAGGCACCGTACCTGCTGCTGTGAGGGCAGGAACTCTGTGCGCTCCTCATTGGGCCTGCACCTCCACACCGGGAAACTCAGAAGGCCGGGCCTACAGAGCACTGCCTCCCCTCCATGGGTTCCCCTTCCCCCCCTCCACCCTCCCACAGACACACAGCCCTGGGCTGGGGGCGGGGGTGGTGGTGGTGGTGGCAGACAGCCTTCCCTTTGCATCCAAACCCTGTGCCTGGCTTCTCTTTCCCTGGCGTGTCGAGGGGCACTCGAGGGTGCCCAGGAAGGAGGGTTCAGCTTGTTCTACTCTTCCCTAATGGTCGGTTCTTCCCAAACCCACCACCATCTGCAGCCATTCTCCTTCTCCCCTCTTTGCAGGAGGTAGGCAAGAAGTCCAGGTCTCCACCTCTTACCCCACCGACTCGCTCAGAACCCCACCTCAACTCCTCCAGGATGTCTGTCTCTAGACACGCATCCCTTGTACACTAGTTCCTTTTCTCGGCACCGTAAAGGTACAGGTGATGACAAGACTCACCTAAGTGGGGACGGTGGGCACGCCTGTAACCTCAAGCACTCCAGCGGCAGACGCAGGATTGGGACTTCCGGGCTAGCCTGGGCTAGGCACTGAGCCCTGTCTTTGTGACTGAGACCCATCACTGTTTGTCTGTTTGTTTTGTTTTGTTGGTCGGTCGGTTGGTTGGTTGGTTTGTGAGGCAGGGTTTCTCTGTGCAAGCCCTGGCTGTCCTGGAACTTGCTCGGTAAACCAGGCTGGCCTGGAACTCACAGAGATCCGCCTGCCCCTGCTCCCCAGTGCTGGGATTAAAGGAGAGCGCCACCACCGCTGCCTGGCAGTTTGTTCTTTAATTGTGTTTCTGTGTTTTTCTGGGGGTGTGTGTGGCATGTGCACGTGTGAGTGCGGGTGTCTTAAGTTGCCAGAATAGTGCGTGCGTTGGGTCCCTTGTAGCTGGAGTTATAGGCTGGGATTCCCTACCCGGGCAAAAGCAGTGCATGCTCTTAACCACTGGCCATCTCTCCAGCCCCGAGACAACAAATTCACACAGACAGAACACAGGTGCTCACCACACCGGATGCCCTGACCACTCTGTCTCCCAAACCGAGCCGTCCACGACGTTGTGGTAAAACTCTGCCCCGTCTCTCTCTCAACTGTGTGTTCCGGTCTGCACACACACGGAGCGGGGTTCACTGTCTACTCTTTCACGGCGGGGCACAAAGCCTCTTTCTACCACACCCACATGCCCGCTCCACAGGTCACAAACGCACAGCACACACAGCACACTCAGGTTTCCTGCTCCTTCCTCCTCCGCACCTGCGCAGCAGGCAGGGGGAGAAAGTTTCTCTGCTGGAGGTGTAGGTGCCCACGCCTACCCGGGCCTCCATTCCACGTCTCCTTCCTTCTTCACCCCTCTCTTAAGCACGGGGGGCGGGGGCGAGCGTGTACACACACACACACACACACACACACAGAGTAACAATCCCCAAATATAGTCCTCTGTCTTTCCACATAAACACACAGGCATGCGGAATTCATCCCTTCCCCCCCTCCCCCCCTTTTCTGTCTCCTCCTCTCTGCCCTCTTTCCTTTTTGCTCGCACACAAACACACACCCGGCAGCTGCAGCGTTCGGGGTGCAGGCGCCAGGCAGGGGACAAAGGTCGCCAAGGCTCCCAGAGCCCCAACTGGGCACAGGTGTGCCTGTCGCGGACTCCGTCAGTCCCTAGAGCGGGTCCTGGCAAGGTCTAGATTAGGCACGCCAACCTGGAGGCTCGCGAGTGCACCCCCGGACCCACCGGCATCTGGGGTAGCAAGAGTCTCCAGCGCTCCAGCACGCCACGGGTTAAGGAGCCCGCGGAGAAGGGGGAGTCCCATCTACGCGTCTGATTGGCTGTAGCTCCGGGGCCCGCAGCCTCCGCGCTTCGGTATTGGTTCGCGGTGGGCCCCGCCCCTTGGCCTGGGCGCCCCAGCCGCGCGCGCCGCCCCGGCCTCTAGCCGCGCAGTCCGAGCGAAGAGCACAGCGCGGCGCAGCCGGAGCCGGAGCACTAGCGGGAGGTGCAGGGAGAGCCGGGCCGTTCGGAGTCCGCGAGCGATGGTGAGTATGCCTGTAGCCCGCTGCGGCTCCGGGCAGCCCGGACGGTGCCGGCAGCGGCGCGGCGATGGCATCCTGGCTGGTTCGAGGCTGGCTGAGCGTCCTCTGCAGCTGCGGCCCGCACCCTGCTGCTCGCAGGCTTGGAGCGTGGCGAGGGTTGGGGGGGGGGGGGATCGTCCGGGCCGCGAAGACCTTGGTTCTGGGCTGCTGGGTCCGGGCCTGGCGTGGAAGACTCGGGGTGGCGCGTTAGGTTTTGGGGGACAGTTGGTGAGGTTTGGGCTGTGTGCAAGTCCCTGAGCTTGGCTTGGCTTGGCATGGAGACCTTGGGCAGCTAGGCCGGGTCGATTCAGAGACGTCAGGGTTCAGCTGGACTTGAGCTCACACCCCGCATAGTTCAGCTGGGTTTGGGATTCGAGAACGCGCCGGACACCGTGAGAGGCTGGGGCACTTTTCTTCTATGGCTGATCCTGCTGTGGCGTGTGGGAAGGGGAGGGGTAGCTCACAGAGGAGGGGACCGCCTGAGAGAGGTTCTGGAGGTAGATGCTGGTGCTTCCAGCATCTCCCTGTAATGAATTCTCAGAGGAGGGCCCAAGCGCTGACTGCTGTGGGCAAAAGCACCAGGGTACAGAGGTCCTTGACGAAGGGGAATTTCGTTGGGGGCTCAAGCCTCAGGGGTGACATACATCTAATCCAGACCGGGTTGCTTTGGAAAGCTTGGCCCAGAGCCAAGGCCTCGTTTTGCCCTTCCATCACTCGCTAGGGCCACTTGCTCCTCTTCCTGTGGACCTCTGATTGCCTCCCCTAGAGCTGGGGCTGTGGGCTGGGTGCAAGACACCCTCTCTGGCCTGAGGAGATCTGCCTGGGCTCTCTGCTGTTGGTCCCAGAGATCTGCCTACCTCTGTCACTTTCCAGCCGGAGGGCTGCCATGGAGAGGGCTGGAGAGGCTGCAGTGCCAGCCATAGTAGGAACCTGATCGGAGCAGAAGCCCCCTTAGACAGCCCTTTTCTCTCTTACCCACTGACATCGTTTGTGCCTCTAGAGACTGACACCTTAATTCTATTCCCAAGGTGCCCAGAGATCATCTTGGACCCGACTTAGCTCCCCCATTAAGAGTCTCCCATGAATGCTTGGATAGTTTCATGGCTGGGGAATGCGTCACCTGTGGACCAGCTCTCGGTTGAAAGCCCGAGGATGTGGGAGAGCAATAAAAGAGGGAGAGACTTTGTGGTCATACATCCTCTTTCTGGACCCACCCTGACCTGAGCCGCTCACATAGAGGATGTTTTTCCTCCTTACAGAGCACCAAAAAGTCTGGTCCATGTGGTGGTGAACGAGTCTGACCCCAGTGTTTGGGGGCTGGGGGGGGTGGGGCAGAGACAGGCAGACCGTGGATTCGAGGGCAGCCTGAGCTCAAACACACCAGCAAATTAACTACTCACCCTGCGCGGGGAACATTTTATTTTATTTGCGTGGGTGTTTGGCTTGCGTGTGTTTAAGTGTACCACATGTGTGTGCCTGGTACTGCGGGGCCCAGAAGAGAGTGTTGGATCTCTGAGCCACCCTGTAGGTGCTGGAACTGACCCCAGGACTCCTCTTTGAGGGGAACCCCTGTTCTTAACTGGCTGAGCCATCTCTGACCTGAAAAGCATCCCAGGCCATCAGAAAGACCTTAGACTTTGGCCCCAAACAGGTTTGGGTTCTAATCCCTGCTTGTTCCCTTCCCCACAGGCACTTTGGCCAGGTTGCTTTATAACCTCGTTGTGCCCTCTCCCCATCAAGAGATGGTAATGGTTCCTGTCTCCTAGGATGGGGATCAGGTTGAGAGAAACTCAAGTGAGAGTGCTTGGCTTGGTTACTGTCCTTTCTTTGACAGCCCTGGGAAGTTCTGCTAACCATCCAGCCTATTTGCTGGTCCGAAGGAACCATTCCTGTCCTGTTTATCACTTTTGGGGGATGACAGTGATTTAGACAGAATGTTTTCTTTCTTGTTTAACAGACATCCACGGGGTGCTCTGTGCCAGGCCTTGTACAAAGCAAGAAAAAGGGACACAGACCATGTGGTGCATGGGGCTTCCGCCTGAACAACCGAGGCCAGGTGTCATGTCCCTCAGGGAGGTGGCTCCGTCAGGCCCGGTGGGTGTTCCCTTCTAGCTGGTGAGGTGGGAGAGTCATTAAGCCAGTGTAATCTGAGTGAGAACACATGTTCCAGTCAGGGGAAACCTGGGTGATGTCTGACCAGAGCTGTGAGGACAGACTGCTCAGTGCTGGGCCAGAACTGGGCTGGTTTACTGCTCTCGTATGTAGGAGCAGGTAAGAGAGGACGAGGCAGGCATGGAAAGTTGGGGGTGGGGTGGGGAGCAGAGGCCTTGGCTGCCAGGGGGCGGGAGCCCAGTGTAGTCCGCTGACGCACAGTGTTGCTGTACGTGGGTGGGTGAGGTGAGGGCTGACGTCAGGCATCCTTGGGTTCCCCTAACGCTGGTTTCCTTGCCATCGTTCCCAAGAGGGGCTGGGATTCAGGGCTACTTCCACTCTGAGTCTCAAACCCAGCTTCCCATCCCACCAGCAGAGAGCCCAAGTTTTTTTCTCTCTGTGCTATCCCCCCCAAGGTTCCTAATGGGGTTCCTTTGCCCTGTAAGGGCTGTTTCCTGTTGTTGGCTCTGTATCTCCGTGGTACTCCTGCTCTCCACCCAGGTCCCTAACCTCTTGGCAGAAAATCAGCAATATTCTTAATGGCCTCCTGTCGGAAGGGCTCCCCCAACCCCCGCCGCAGTGCAAGCCGTGGGATGAGGGCTCCCAAGAGGCTTTTTCTGTCTCTTGCCTCCAGCTGTCCTCAAACCACCCAGCGGAGGCACAGAGGTGGGGAGGAGGTGGTCCAGGGGCACGGAGCTAGGCACCCTGCCAGGTGCTAGCACAACTAACCGGGCAGAGGGGTTGAAGGGAAAGAAACAGCCGGATTCGCATGCTGTGCTGGCAGTTTCTTGTGGACCAGTTCTTCACATTCCACACTGGGGATGGTGACTGCGTTTGGGCTGCTGCTGAAGGGAACAATCTCTTATTCCCTTAAGGTTGAATAATCTCTTAAGGTTGAATAGAGGACAAGATCTGGGACTCCAATTTTGCATGTCAACGTCCTATCAGTTTGCTGTGTGATCTTAGGTCAGGCATCCTCCCTCCCTGTGCTCCCTTTTACCACGAGGGGTAGGTGCCCTCCGCTATCGAGGATGTTATTGTGAGGGCGCCGACATGGAAGCACACAGACACGAGTAAAAACACAAGGGACGGTGTTATCATTTGAGGATGGGAGGCAAGGCATTCCGAGAGCACGGCAGCCGTCACCTCGCCCTGGGCGGCAGGCCTGTCCTGGAGACCGGGTTACACCGGGTTATCCGTGTTTCTACACTTGTTCTCGGCCGGGTAGCCAAGCTGTGACGGTTACTCATGTTTCCTTGCATTGCCCTAGTTTTTGGTAAAGAAGGATGCTGTTGCCTTCTGGGAAGGAATGCTCCCAGTTTCTAAGAACTGCAGAGACTTCCACCCTGTCAGGAGTGGAGGAGGGCTTGGAGAGTTGGAGGTGCCTACAAGGAGGACAACCATCAGCAGATAAATACAGTTTTTGCGTGTCTGTTCTTCCGGGTCCACTTCCAGTGGCTGTGTGTGCACCTGGCTGTCCATCATATGGCGTACGTAGCCACCGAGTCAGCCTGGGATGGCCCAAGGCTCAGGGGCTGTGGTCAGGGTGGCTGAGATTGACGTTTCTGCCACAGTCTGATAAGCAAGCCGATGGACAGGAAATGACAAGCTCAGTTCCTGTTGCTATAGAGACACGGGGAGAGGCCGGTGGGGAACCTGGCCTGGGGATCTGTAGAGGCTCCCTGAGACCATGCCATTCTTCAGGCTTCAGGCTACAGCCTGAGGATTGAGTGAGTGGAGCCGGGCTTCCACGATACCAGCCTGCAGTCTCACCTCGAAGTGACAGAGGCCAGAGGATTGCTGTAGCGGCAACTCAAAACTCAGGTCTGAACAGCAGTACCACAGAGATACGAGTTGGCCTAGGAAGGGTTTCAGGCGTTGGTTGCTGTGCAGCTGGCCTCTGGACATTCGCTGCTGTGGGCGGTGGGGGAGGTAGGGGGCAGATGATGATTTCTGGCAGCTGGCCAGAGCAGGTGTGCTCAGGGAGGACCACGAGAGAGATTTTGAGTCTTGATTCTAAGCATAGTGGGGAGCCACTCAGCAGCCTAGGGTGAGGCCTCCTGCCCCCTTGTCCTTAGCAGGCTTTCATCTTCTCTTTAAGCCCAGGGACGCTTTCTAGGTCTGGGCTGTGAAAACAGAAGTTCAGAGTTTACTATGGGAGCCAAGGACTTGAACTAGGTAGCCAAAGGCTTCAGCCCCTAGCTGACACTCCATTTAGCCTTCCTGAGATAGCCCCTGGCCATGGGGATGGGACCACTGAGCAACAGGCAGAGGTGTTGGGGGCTACCAGGACAGGGTGCTGGCCGGGCCGAAAGGCTGGTCCTGTTCTTTCTGACAGGACCGCCTTTGCTCCCTGTTCTTGGGTCCCACTGCTGATGAATGGCTGAGCTGGGACTGGAACTGAGTCCGACCTCCCATCTGCCTGACTTCAGTGACAATCACCCCCTGACTGGCAGCCCCTGGCTCAGAAGAGGCTTCTCCAAGCCCACCTCCTGGCTTGCTCTTTTGCCTTCTTGGCTGGGGTGCGAAGGCGGGTGTGGTTGTGGGCTGCAGCCAGGAGGACTCGGTTACAGTGTAAACACATCATGTCAATATTTACTTCTGCCTGGAGCAGAGCCTTCCCCTCCCACCTGCTGCCCCCTGCAGGTGCTTCAGACAGGCCTGAAGAAGAGAACCAAGGCCAAGTGCAGAGACCCCAATTAGACACTCTCCCATCCCAGGCCTCAGTTTCCCCATCTGCCAAATGACATGGCTGGAACAGTCAAGATCCATTTTCACGCAGCTCCTACAGTGCAGTAAGCATACCCAGGCGC